GATAGCTTGATTTAAAACTTTGAATTGAATAAAAAATGACAAGGAGGCTAAGCAGTTAATAATAAAATAAGAACAAATAAAGAAATTACTAATGATAGCACAAATAAAAAATAACGATAGGCCTACAAATTAAATAAATTGCTTTTTAGTTTTTCAGGTAGGTCTAACAGTCTAACAGTAGGGTTAAGATATTTAACTTTTTTTTTTTTTACCAATTATCCAAATAATGTTTAATCCTAGAAAGCTATTATTATCAGAGGACACGTGAGCATAACGGTTAGCAGATCAATGAATGAGAGGGCAGCGTTACCAGAGTTGCCCATTTACCACACCTTGTTACAACACAGTAGGGCTATTGCAAACAGAAACAATACTGTACTGCATCGATGTTTCCTGTCAGCTTGATTTTTGAGTGGACTTTGCTGTTCCGATGAGCATGAACGGTATATGAGTGGAGCACTCACATCGGCCGTGAGCGACTGAGCGGAGCGCACACACGCATAGAGCGGGATAACATGCAGAGCGTCACACCACGTGAAAGTGAAACCTGAGCGGTGAACTCATTTTCGGCAGCCGGAATTTCAGTGCATCTCTAATTATTGGCTACATCAGAAATGGATATTATATAATAGCTGCTTTTTTGAAAATTGTAGCAATTTAAAAAAATTAAAAAAGCCCTGCTCGCGACAGACGGCACCCCGGTTGGGAAACACTGGTCTAAAGCAATAACAACAACAGCTGCAGTGAAAGTGGCAATGTGTGAGGCTAACCAAGTGACTCACAGTTTACTGTCAACACTCTTTAAAAACATTTTCTGTCTCAGGAGATCATACAAACAGGCTAACACCTGAAGAAATTGATATAAAAACATTGGCCTAGCAAAAAAAAAAAACCCACTATACTACAATCTAATATTAATACTGAAGTCCTCGACGGGGGGTCATTTTCAGTACAGTTGGTAGCATGACACACGATTTCTCTAGTTAACACAACAAACTTTGTCTGTTGAGTCTTGTTCTTCCAAGCTCTGCTTTTCATTGAGATCATGAAAACTGCACCTGTGTTGGGCCGTTGCCTTGTTCTTTGCCAAGCAGTAATTGAAATGTTATTGCCAATCTCTCCCTTTCATCTTTTCTCCTCTCCACCTTTTCTCAAGGACAAAGGAGCCACATTGCTATCCATTTATGCACTGAAAAGCTCTCAATAAAGAGATACTGTTATTTTTTGTGAGACAAAATAAAGACACACTTTCTCTGTCTCATGACCATGTTTTTGCATTATGTATTATTATTATTTATTATTAAATTGTCAGCCTTTTTGCTCCTCATAAATTCACAACAAACAATTGTTCAGTCTGTATTTAGGATCAACATTAACATGTACTAAGATGCTTTATTTTATTAAAAATACAAAAATCCAGATGATCAGCGATAAAAAAAATATATATATATTTTAAAGTGTTTTGTTATTGCAAAACTAACATTAAGATTAGAGATTAATGTTCCATATTCAATCCTCACTATTGCTCCACAATTCATGTCGTTTAAACAACAAAAGGAGACATCTAAGCTCTTTTTGTTGTTGAACCCTGACGAGATCGACCAAATGGACATCACCCAAATGAACAACTACAATATTAGATCTAGTAGACTTAATGACATAAGATCATTTTTGGTCTTATTCCTGTGTAAAAGTCCTTTCCAGTGTCCTTAATTCCAGCTAGGGATTACAATCTAAAGACACTGTGGATTAGCAATACCAATTGAGCTCTGCTGTAATACGGGCCAAGAGAAATGGCACACACAAATCCATGGCCTAATTTTTACACTTGCTTATTTGCTGTAATTCTAATCTGACACAGAGAGTTCAGTCTGTTTTATGATTGTTAAACAATGAGTTCTATCAGTAGATCAGATAAATCAAATAAATATTTTTGCTAAGAACTACTGAAACACCATATTGTAATTTTATTGCAAAGTTGTAGTGGAAGACAAACAATTTCTTCTACCACTATCACAGCAATCAAGTCATTTTAGCTTTTTTGTATGATTTCCTTAACTGGAATGTTGACTTTGGAAAGTTCTAACTGAAAATAGCTAATTTTCCTTTTTAATGTTTCTTCTTTATACATAATAGATGTAATGTTCACACATATTCCATCCCATTGAATAGCTCATTATATATGCACAGGAAGGAAGTGAGAGAAAACAATAAAGGACAGGAATAAGTAGCAATGTGTGCAGTGCTTGAGAAGTGGAGCATTGCTGCAACTGATTCAACTATTCATGCTCTTTATGTAAATTCAAATTAGTGGAAAGCAGTAGCTCAGTGACATATGACATGTTCATATAGTCAGCTTGGCACTGCATATGTGCATGCATGCATATGTGAATTAATTTTAGACTCTCTCACTTGATTGGCCATCTGCTTCCACTGATGTGAGGCTGCATAATCAGAAAGGTGAACAAATCAGGAGGCTTGACTCCTCAGACTGCAGTTTCCACTAATGCAGAAAAAAGAAAGTGCACTTATTACTGAAAATGAAAGTGTAATTATTACTGATGCATATGGCTGACCTGCCCATATTATTAAGCGCTATACATCTATGTGTTTTAAAATCGACAGATGCTGTATTTCTGTCAATGCATTTGTGCATTTTTACATGACTACATCAATGACATTGCACATTAATTAAATTGTAGAACAAATGTGAAAATCCATCTGTTTTTAGTAATTATTATTTTGACTACACTGATCATGAGCGCCTTATAACGATTTTTTTTCAACGGGTAGCTGATGCCACCAATGTGGTGGCAACTACTAAATGCAATAAACAGTATTTTTTTATAATTGAAGTGATTATTAATTATTACGTATAATAATTATCATTCTAATAATAAATTATGTGGAATGCATGATGTCTAAATGTAATAAATAATTCAACAAACAAAAACAAATAAATAAATATGTGTTTCATATATATGAAATATAAATACACCTATAAAATGAATAACAATAACATTTAAATTAATTATTGTATGCTTTATATTAAATCATTTTTTACATGCAATTTTTTCTTATTGGACTAATATTAAATTAAATAACTCTTCTAATAATAATTGAGAAAACTTATTTTTTTTAATTATGAATAAATATATAACAGTACCACCCAATATAAAATGCCATATCATTAAATGTTCTAGCTTTAATAATAGTTCAGTCAGATACAAAGGATCGTCATTTCTTTTCTCCATAATTTAAATGTCATGTTGAGTGGTCGAGTGGATCTGCTCAGGGTCAGAAAGATGGTTTAATGAAACACAATGCAGAAAGAAAGAAATTAGGGGTGGAACGTTCAACTTAGCCTACTCACGGTTCGGTTTGTATCACGGTTTTAGAGTCACGGTTTGCGGTCTGCTATAGGATACTTACCAAGACGGCATTTTGACAATTTTTGTGTGCATTTGTCCATTTAAACACAATACTTCAGAGAGAGCTTAATATTTGCACGCGTTCTGAGGAGCGGGTTTGCACGCTTCGGATGAGCGCACGCACAAATCTTCTCACTGCGTCCTCTGGCTCTTAAATGTTTAAACTGGCAAATCTTACACGAGTTTAGTTTAAACACAGATATCAACGTGTGCTGTTCAGGTCTCATCTGTGTGCGCGCGCTATCAGCACCCCGGTGATGACGGAATAAATTACTGCTCATATTCCAGCATACGACATTCGCATTGAACAAGAGTGAATGGTTTGTCCACTTTTTTTTCCATCGCAGTTGTTGTAATGTATTGGGAAGCCAGAATGCGCATCCATCCACAGAAACAGAAACATATAGCCGAACCCTGTTTGTTGTACGTGTTATTTATAGCAAACCATATTACAGATGCGTTGTCAGATTTAAATTGAACCGCGGTAGTGCTTGCCGAACCGTGTGTGGAGAACCGTACGGTTCGATTTTTTTCCGCGAACCGTTCCACCCCTAAAATAAATCCTTGAATCTATCTGTGAAAGAGCAGTTATAATGAATAGTTGTTTCCAGGGGCATTTAATGACATGAGACAAGTGAAAAAAGCCACAATGGTCCAAGGGCAGAGTAATACACCATCCACTTATGATTTGCTCAGAAGAGATGGAGAGGAAGGTCACTGCATGCTAGACTGAGTGCAGAGCATTCTATTGCCGCTGTTGTTTCTTCTATCCTGGTTTTCCATTCATGTGTGACCAAGATAGCTTTCATTTTTTTCTTCAGATTTCAGACTTCTTTCATAAGTGAAATCTGCACTGTACTAATAATAGAAAACATTTTCAAGAGCTGTCAACTGTGACTAGCTGTCTGTAAAATGCAATGTGACACAATGAAGAACTATATTTACGTGATAGCAAAAATGAAGAAAAATGAAAATATCTCTGAAAAGCAATGGATAATTTCCAATGAGGAGAAATGACATCTGTGTATCACATATTTCATTACACAATAATTGTAGATTTGTCACTAGAGAAGATAGAGCTGTTTTCGAATTAAATAGCTATAATATCTTTGAAATTAGGCAGAAATTGGTTGTATTTCAACAACACAGTAAATTAAATGCTCTCTGTATGTAATATCTATAACAGAAAATTTATGGATTATGGTGAACCCACTGTTTGTGGACTAAGCAACTAGATGGCAATGAAAGTTGAAAATATTTTATCAACTGAATAAAAGAAGAGTAAATAAAAAGAACCTGAGTTTCTTTATTGTAAGTAGGCCTATCCATTTAACTTATTTATTTAAGACAGTAAAACTCGGTTTTATACAATATGTAGGGTGTTTCTTTAGCTTGAGGCACATTTATGTCTCAGGATTTTTTATTTTTTTATTTTTTTTTAAACTGAAAAGGGTCTGCTGTAGTTACCTCTGAAACCACAAGATGACACTATTTCCTAAAAAACGAATAATAAGACCCATGACTACACACTAATAGCGAGTGTAACTTTCAGGATAATGCTCCGATCCACCTAGTAAATGTAGTCGTGTTTGCGTTAGCTACTTAAGAATATTGAAAGTCATTTTTAGTTTAATCCGAATCCAATCCATAGAGTGAGTTTATTCGCTCAAACGACTGTAACAATTCCCTATCTTCATTTATTATCCGAAAGCCTTATTTTATGCCCAGTTCCAGCTCTGTGTGTTTAAATGCTGCGTGCCACTATGAGCTCGAGACACGCTGACGTCAGCGCCGAAACACTGAACGAAACAAGCCATTTCCAGCAGCGCGAGCCTCTGCCGGAGCGCTGGGCCTGCCCAAACTACTTCTGATAGTTACCCAGTGTCTGATCCGAGAAGTTGAACGGTGCTTTGACTGCTTTTCTTCAGTCAGTGACCGCGTCTCTCTGAAGAGCATCGCACGCAGACGGAAGGCGCAAACATGTCCGTGAAGCCGGAGGCAGACTCGGAGGGCAGCTGGTACGGGGATGATTTTGAGAAGATTGACCGCTTCGGGAGCACCTCCGCCGTCCGGCGGGATGACTTGGGAGACGACCGGCAGATGGGAGACTGGGAGGACGAATCAAGTGATGATAAACAGTTTTCCAGCCATCCCGAAAGCGACCAGCAACCGCTCCCTGTTGTCATGGAAACTGCGTCCACAGGTAATGTGATTTTAATGTACATCGTCATATATGCAACGCTTTGAAATACCTCGATGCTTAACTTCTCTGTCGCCTGGGGCCTGGTTATCAGGTAGCAGTTACCTTGGCTTGCTGGCTCGCTCTGTCTGGAGTGGAAGTTTTATTGAATTTAGGGATGGGCATCGTAAGGAATTGAATTCCTCTCGATTCTATATTTCACAACACTTTAGAGATGGCATATGGTTCTATGTATTAAAATGATTAATAAACAAAATATCACTGATTCTAATAAGCATGTGTACACATTGTAAAAATATTTTATACACAATCTTGTATTGTATTGTATTGTAAAAATATATTACACACATTATAAAATAATGTCTTACACATATGTGTATAACAAACCAGTCAGTATTTGTAATTGACTTACGTGGATAAGCAAGGGTAACAGTTATTGGTTCATTTCGAATCTGACATGACTAAAGTAATAATTTATGGTTCAGAAAGCAAGTCAGTTTAATTTAGCGACAGATCCAGCTGAATCAAAGGTGTTTTTGATTCTAAAAGTTGCTTTGTGACAGTTAAGTGAGTTACTGGATCAACAATAATTCATTCAAAACAAGGATTCTTCCAGGAAGTAAACACCACATGTATATTTTTAATATAATAATAATTTGTATTCTACTTATGAAATTTATTCTTTTATTAACTGCTAAATGTACTATATCTATCCAATATCACAAAAATAAGCAATCTATTTGTTCTTATAGTTTTTATATTCATGTCTGAGACCTATTGTTGATAGGTCAACACTTTGGCTACTAAAAACTAATTTTACTTACTATGATTTATAGTGTTATACATACCATGAAAAAACTGCAAATGCAAAATACACTGTTAGTGAGATGTTGTATAACTTTTTTTCCCCCTTCAGTTGCTGGATCTTTATCTTTGTCATTATTTCAATGTGCTTCAGCTGCTTTTCAAACCAGACACTTTACAGTAACCTTTACTGCATAGAGATCAATACGTGACATTGCCATTTGAACATCTCACAGGCTTGGATCGAAAATTTGTTATATGGCATTATGCTACTAGAGAAACCCTATGACAGACAGACAGAGCTGTTCAGACTAGTCTTTCATCATGTGGTTGTTTTTTTTTCGCTTAGTGAAATGAGATTGTAGCTCCATTTCTATAAAAAAACACCAGTCCAAAATTAGTCTTTACAACCAGACAGAAATATAAGAGATAAGAAATGCTAATACTATATGCAATAGGAAGCTTTTTCAGGTTTGCACGTCTCTTAAAATTGTTTTGTTTTTCAGTTGTAGCTTAGACAAGCCTGCCTTTCTGTGTTTAATGAATCTTAATGCTGCAGACTGTTGAGTGAAAGTGATATTATGTAATAGTCTTTCATGTGGGTATCGGAAAGATGGAGAAGTTATCACTGAATAACAAAAAAATAACCTCGTTATGAGCTATAAAACAGTAAGCCTAATGTGAAAATGGTATTAGGTGATAAGGGAAAAAATCAATCAAATCATCATGTATTGCAAGAGTAAAACAGCAATAAAAGTGCTTCAACAGCAGTCTAAGCTTTCTGCTTTTAATTAACCAAACAAAAGGACATTTGGAACATTTTCTAAAATTTCCCAATTTCCTAACCTATGCAAGTCAACACTAAAGCACTGATATAAATGAGCTCGAATTAGTATCTTTAGCATATTAAGTTTCATTATAGATGCATCATGAGTCACACAAGATTTGTAGAAGTTGTTTTGTGTGTATCCGAATCACCAGACTGACATTGACAAGTGAATGAAATTTAGAGTCCTGTAGTAAAATCCTCTAATCAGACTGAATCTCTCTCTAGCTGAATGACAGCCTGTCCCAGTGCTTATTGAACCACAGTACTGACTCCTAGAGGATGTGATACTTGGCCTTTTGGATCACATTTAGAGCACATTGTTAAACACATTCTTGATGTTGATATTAACATGAATTGAGCTTGACACTTTAGGTGAGAGCACATAGTAACTCTATTACTTATTTGACTTTTGATAAGACTATTTTAGATTAAAGTTTAGCAATACCATTTGTACATGAATAATTTAATGGACAGACATGAAACATAACCTCTGACAGAATGCATTTAATGTGAATACATCATCTTTTTGATAACATATAAGTCAGAGCAAGAGCAAACATTAGTGTTTTTTATACGGTTATTATCTTTACTAATTCTACACATCTGCTACTACTGCAACTACTTGTTACAATTTGCTAGCTTGCAATGCAGTTATTCTTATGTTTTTCACCATATACAAACTTGATAATTTCCTCCTGTTTTCATAAAACATTTTTTTCTCTACAAACAGTTCACCAGTATCTTGCATGGCTTCTTTGGCTTGCTGGCATCACTATTTAATTTAAGGCAGATATAATGAGCAATTATATATGATGTGTAGGTTGTGTACTGGAGAGACCCCACTGTGTTGTCTTTCATGGTACCCCGATCAGAAATCAGAAAGCCTTATGAGTTGTATACAGACAGGCCGTTCATTGTTTTTAATGTCTTCGCTTCAGTGAACCGTGATTCATTAGGGACACTGGAATGCAAGTTCACTTTCTTCTTTACACACATACAGAAAGCGTTGCTGGTTGCAGAATATCACATGGGCATCAGAAAGTACTAAGAACCATAACAAGATTTAAAAGAATCTATTTCCCTTTGCGGGAACACATTCGCCTCATTAGCACTGACTCAGCACTTGCTGCCATGATTTAAAAATGCTTGTATAGTTCAGAAACTGCTTTCTGTATATACTGATATTCTACAATAAATTGATTAAACAACATTATATATTGTATAATTTTTAACTGCTGCTCCAGACTGTTCACATGAATTTTTGTGAACATTTCTCTTGTTTTCTAGTACATTGAGAAGCAAATGGCATCATATTATGCTTAAAACAAGAAAAAGCATTGCCAGTGTCAGAGTTTTTTTTTCCATATAAAAATACTGACATGAGAAAATAAAAAAGGCAATAAATGTTCATCATAAGTAATTGGTACTTAATTGGGTCTAGAAAGAAAAGAGACCCCAACCTCCAAAATTTAGTGTATTTATATTTAAATGCAATATTGTTTGTCTAGTTTTCATCCTTATTCTTTACTTTTGTTTCTATCCTTTACCAAGCATTGTTGAATATTTTCAACATGTAGGAAAAATACTAGAAACAAGCTTAATGGCCAAACATAAGGTGTGTATAGCCAATGTATTGTTTGTTGTGATGAATGAATCTCAATGCAGCAAGCATATCGCATTACAGACTAAAGCGATTATGTAAAAGCTTTAAACATATGCTCATTTGTCCAGCCCTACGAGGTGGACAGATTATTGTCTTCTTTTCCTGACAGATTGTTCTCTGTGGTAATTAACCCCAGTGACGCATTGAAAATGGTTGTTTAAAAAAAATTGAAAATGAATTTAGAACCTAATAGATTTCAGAAGCTGCTGATTTTTAAAACCACTATTGATGGTTGGGGTCATATTTTGTATTTAATTTTATATAATTACTACATTGTTCTTTAAATATTGAGATTGCTATGCTTTACCTTTTACATTTTTCACTATAAACCCACAATTCCTGCAGACACTGTCATGCTGGAACAGTTGGTTTTCAGGTACAAGAGAAGTACCTCCAACAGCTGCTCCAACAGCTGCTCTCCATCTGCATCTGTTCTCATGATGAAGTAAATCCGGTGAATTCATACACATACACATAGAGTAACCATGTGAAAGTGTGCCTGCAGTGACTTGAAGTTGGCACCAACTCCTCATGTGCCACAAACCTGTCAGTGGCATCTTGATCTTCCCTTCAACCTTATCTGTCTGTCAGACGTACTGTTCTGCAGAGATACGTGCTGGTGGCACAGCAGAGATGAGTGTCTAAAAGGAAGCCCATCTTAGTGACAGAGAGCTTTTTAAAAAAAAATAAAAAAATGAAATTGTGGGATATAATTATGCTGTTTTGAAACATAACCCCTGTCATATTTTACCTCCCAGTCACTTTTTATCACTCTTGTTTGTTAAGGAAAGTCTGCAGTGTCGCTTCATCAGTGTCTTCCTGTGAAGATAGACCTGGCGCTGACCAGAAATAACACAGAATAGAGGAAGGAAGTCCTCACAATGTACTGATCTTTCTAAGCTCAGTTAAAACAGTCAGAGCTACTCAGCTAAGGAAAGAGAAATTCGCTTCTTGCCAAAAGTAGATTACACACTTGTGTGTCAAAAGGACAACATAATCAAAACATCATATATAGTAGAGTACATCCAAAACAATGAGTTGTGAAAGAGCAAGATCAGAGCTAGTCTGATCTTGCTAGTTAGTCAGGATGGTAGTTCTGCCAACATTTTCACTGGCTTTAGCATAGTTTTTGGAGTGCTGTGCTAACTGAAACTGAATATTCATTTAACTGCTATAGGAGGCCCTTGTGAAAAACAAGTTCACTTTATCATCATTTTAAAAAGAGACTTTACTCTTATTACAGAAATAATATACTTAATTGCACTTTAGAGTCCTTATTTGACCCACTTAAGCAAGATGTAAGTACATCTTTGTATGTAATTAAGGGCCAAGCACTGAAGGTGCGATGGCACCTATTGTATCCGTTGGTGTTCTTTTTTTTCTTCCATTTCTTCTTCCACTCTTGAGTCTATGGCAGCACATAGAACCGCTTGCGGGAAAGTTGTGAAATTTGGTACACTGATAGAGCACCGTCTTAACATTAACCATAGCAAGTTTGGAGTCTCTAACTCAAACTCTCTCTACTCAAACTCCACTTGTCCAAAGTTTCACTCATGTGTATGCTAATAACTTTTGAACCGTAAGGTACGTAAGGAAAATTCTTTTTTTCACCTGAATCCTTGGCTCACGCCAAGTTGAATGAACTCCAAAATTTAAAAATCGTAAGGTTTCGTTTTTTCGCTATTTTTAATAGTTTGTAAAACCTAC